AAAAATCTCAATATCCAAACTAAAATTTAGAAGCTTTTGATGTTGCTTAGAAATATTGTTTGCTCTCTAACATTTATTGATACCCCCTAGAATGTGCACATACATTTATGTGTAATTACTTCAATTTCAAACTCCAGAGATGACACTGAAGAGTTGATCCAACCTGCATATATGCAGATATTAAATTCCAGGGCAAAAACTTTTCCCAGTTTAATTATGATAGCTAGTATACAAAACAAATATGTTATAGAGTTTAAAATTTAATTGATATTTCATAAACTAGAGGTACTACACATGTGTACGTATCGTTACAAGTAGTATAGGATTTTTTTTAAGACTAGAGTGTCAATCCCACAGGGAAGCAAGGTAAGAATCCCTCAGGTTAATTCTAGAATACTATCGTCAGACTTAAGTTTGGAATGACAATTAATGTTACTTTTCTAATAACAACTCTTAAATACAAGCCTAAATCTAAAGATAAACCTAACTAGAGTAATTGGTTTGGTAAATTTTGAGATGTTAAAAACTACATTTCACGTGCGACAACCTAGATAATGCATAGGAATGAAATGCTTGGGATTTAATGTGGTCAGTAACAAATAGGAGATCATACCTATTCCTTTCCCTCTCCCAAGTGCACAAAGAACATTAGCTAATCTAAAGTTAATTTCCTGATTGATATAATTGTGCTGAGTAGATTCTAGCCTTTCACATTCAGATTACCCAACGTGCTCTCTCTATTAGGACCAACCAGGCCATAGCTTCCAAACTAAAGACTAAATTGATAAATGTTCTAGCATGTCACTCTAGTGTGCTCTCCTCCATCCAAGATTTAGTATGATATTCATTAGTCGGGTGAAATCATAGCCTTCCCGGGTCATTATGTTTCACAATGGATTTTAACATTACAAATGACCAATTTGCAAAACAAATTAAGAACTGGTAAAAATACCATCACATTTATAAAATAAGAGAATTTATAGGCAAATATAAATTCCTAAACATGCATCCAATTCATTGCAAAAGGAAAGTAAAATGAAGATAATGACATAAGAAATAAAAAATTGATATAATTATGTGCCAATAAGAAATATATGTTTGCCTACCCTCTCCTGAGTCTTAGGTATGCTTAGTATTCTATTTGTTTTACATAACTAATTGTCACATAGAAGCTTTTAATAGAAACATATCATGAATTTTCCTTAAAAATTACATTGCCGCCTAAACAACTTCACCATAACCAACTGGATAAGTGAGTGCACTCAAGTTGAGAGATCAATGCTTTTCCGAGTCGTAGTTTCACTTACAACAGATATTAACATAACATATTCTCACTTAAATTATGTCAATAAAGCAAAGGAGATATTACTCATCACATGGAAATAAAAGTTGTTCTATCTTAAAACAAAATTTTCTACTCATGTCACTACTTTATATTAAAAGAAAGGAGGAAAGAAAACTACTCAAGAAGCATGAATCAAACACACCAAAAAATTTCACTAAATCAAAGCAAATGCACTAGAAAGTGTTTATATAATTATAAGATAATGAAAAACACAATACTTAGTTTTTGCCTCTAAAAGAAAGATGTAAATCTCTCCAACAAAGTCTTCGTCGATCCACACAATGCTCGCACATTTCTTTACACATCTCAAAATCTCTCACCAATCTCTCGAGAAATAATTAAATCTATGAATAATTTAATAATAATAGGGATAATAAATAACGATAATTATGCATTAATAATTTATGATCATGACAACAATATGATGGCTTTAAATAAATAATATAATAGTTTCAATTTCAATATGATAATTTGGTGCAGGTATTCCAAAATACATAATTACATGTCACAACTTTACATCAATTTTTCATTCTTTCAAGAAGTACTCTTTTTCAAGTGTCAAAGTAAGAACATAGTTTCAATAATTCTTTTATAGATGAATCACCAAATTCTCCAAAGAAGAAAGCTACCACATAACCATACACCACTTAATGTCAAACTCAAATATAATTTGTCTCATTCATCACTAATTTATCATATTAAATGATAAAACCATGATATATTTAACATTATGATATAAAGATGAAAAAAGAGGGAAATTTTGGTTATATAAAATATTGAATAAAAATATCTCAATGTATGCCATTCATATCCTGAACTAGAATTACTTTAATTCATGCTTTCATAGCCAAGTTATTCATCCATTCAAAATTATTTTTGCCTCTCAAATTATGTATTTGAACTCGTCTCGTGGGTTTAATTTTCTTCCCTTATTTAACTGCACCATGCTTGGCTGACCCTAATACTGATGCTTTCCCTATTTCCTATACAAGACTGCCTCCAAAATCAAATTCCCCTCCATGCTTAACTAACACTATATATATCAACGATTAATTTTAATTTTCCAAATAATATGGAAGAAATATTAAACAGAGATATTATGAAGATATGTTGCATTGCATCTTTCCAAAGTTGCAATTCTTTTGATGAACCTTGCCCATCCCATCTAGTTGGAAGAAAATGAATTGCTTTGATTTTTCTTCCTAAATTGAGATGGTTGTTCCATATAAAGTGTGGGGGATTCTTGCATCAATTTAAAAGGGTTCTAGTTTAATTTAGGGAAATTAACATACATAGCACCAAATTCTTATCCATTTACTTATACACCCAAACTTTAATTTTTTCAAATTAAGCACATTTTCCTATGTTTGAAAAGACGTATGAAAAGGTGGATTGCACCTTTTCCTATAGGTAGGGTGCTTCACGTAAAAATCAAAGTTTGGGTGTGAGATAAGTAAATAAAGTAAAAAATCAAAGTTTGAGTGTGAGATAAGTAAGTGCATAAGAAATGGGTATTATTTATGTAAAAGCCCCCTTTAATTTAACAATTGATTACATACAACATTGGGTTATTTGTGTAAAAACCCCCCTTTAATTTAACAATTGATTACATACAACATTAAATTAAATTAATTATTTGAAAATATATGCATGGCTTAAATAAACTTCCATGGGTAACGAATAAGTATACAACAATAGAAATAATTTATAGCAATAAATATGCATGAATAAATTATCAACATGTCTAAAATATGATAAATTAAAAAAAAAATTAAGAACATTTTAATTTCATCATGATAACTTATAATAATAAAATTAAATAAAAAATAAAAAATAAAAATGTAACTCATGGCACTACTCTACATTAGTCTAATGTACATAATATCTTCCATATACCCTTAAAAAAATGATCAAAATTGCAAATTAGAAGATACCCAAATAAATTTGATGTGCACATAAATTTGTCTTCTATCAAGGAACTAAAAAGTATATTAGCTTCTAATGTTAATGAAATAAAGGATAGATGAATGCTATGTATAAATAATAAATGTAAAATAGAGTCTACAATTATAAGATTATATATATGTATATATAAATGAATTAATTATTTAATTATGTACATGTGTTACATGATATTACTATTTATAGCATTAATAATATGGTTTATAAAATTTTTGCACTATTCACTTCTTTTACCTTCATGAACATCATCTCATTGCTTTTTACCCCAAATCCTATACTTATATGTATGTATAAATGAATTAAATTATTTAATTATGTACATATGTTACATGATATTACTATTTATTAGCATTAATAATATGGTTTATAAAGTTTTTGCACTATTCACTTCTTTTACCTTCATGAGCATCATCTCATTGCTTTTTACCCCAAATCCTATAC